AAATGAATGAAGTCCGGTTCAGAAACAACCGAATTCAGTATTCTGTACTTAGTAGAACTTGGCTCAGTTTTTTCAAATGAGTCAAGCTTTTTCTTTTTGCTGCCCAACAACTGTTACCAATCTTGAAGGGCAATGATAATTCATTAACATCAAACAGTATATCAGATAACTCTGTCAGATTTCATATTCCCTCTATCTAGAAAAATTTTGTATCTTACTTTAAGCACAGACATGATTTCCACTATATAAGATTGGAGAATTGTCCAAGAGAAAGTTGCTTATGTTTAAAGTGAATTTCAGATTTCCTATTCTCAGGAAGGATTTTTAATGTAGTACTTTCAACCATATTGTGAAGCATATTTTTCCAAAAGTAGCCCAATTTAAGAAATTATTTTTTTGTTTATTTTTTATATCTTTATTGTTGAAAGTGTTACATAGGTCCTCCTTTTCCCCCATTAACCTCTTCCAGCCTGCTCAGTTCTTCCTCTCCTCCCACCCCCCCAGGCCCTCAGCACCCCATTGTCTGTGTCTAAGAGTTATGTTTATATGCATACAAGTTCATTGGTTGATCTCTTCCCACTCACCCTCCCCTCCTTCCCTCTGAGGTTCAACAGTCTGTTCAACAGTCTGATTCTGGGTCTATTTTTGATCATCAGTTTATTTGGTTCATTAAATTCCACATATGAGTGAGATCATATGATACTTATTTCCCTCTCACTGGCTTATTTTGCTCAGCATATTACTCTTCTTTTGTAATTAAGCAAAATTGGAAGTTCAGACTGGATTTTCATGGTACTGTATAAGACTGCAAAAGCTTTGCCATTTTGCAATATACATTTACTTCCATGTTGTCCTGCATTCATTCTTTTTTAATTAGCGTGGTGCTGAGGGTATGTACAATATCTTACTTTTCTTTTCTAAAAATAATGCTGGGCATTCACTAAATATAAGTTTGGGGATTTCTATGTTGTCATACACAGAAAAAACACTTTTTAAGATCTAAGGATTGCCAAAACCTATTAATATTTATAGTTTGCCTAACCCTATTACAATAGATAATGCCAGGGTTTGGCTTAGGAAATAAATCAGAAAAGGTTATGTACTAAAGGCCTCTATAACTGAAGACAACAAAGTAAGATAAACTAAGGTAAGGTTAGTCACTTTGAGTTCTTTCCAAAAACAAATCTACTCTGTGATGTGATCTGGAGTAATCTTGTTGGTATTGTTAAATAACAGGAAGCACACTAAAATGTAACTTCTATAAACAGAGAATCAGCAAAAAATATAAAAATGGGTTACTAGAGGAGAAACCAAGATGGTGGCATAGGTAAACACGGGAGTTTGCTGCCTCGAACAACCACTTCAAAAATACAACTAAAAGACGGAACGGACATCATCCAGAACCACAGGAAAGCTGGCTGAGTGGATGTTCTACAACTAGGAGGAAAGAGAAAAGCATACCGAGGCTCAGAGGAGGCGCAGTGCTGAAGTAAAATACTAAGGTTCGGAGTGCATGCGGAGCGGGCTGGAGGCTGAGGGCGCGGTTGTCGTTTTCAATCGGGAGGGAGTCTCAGGCTCTGAGCTCCAGTTCCGGGCGAGTCTCTAAGGACCCACACTCATAC